CCCCACCTGCTCACCCCAGGCCGCAGGGCTCCCTGGCAGCACCACCTGCTCACCCCGGGCTACAGGGCTCACTGGGAACCCCACCTGCTCACCCTGGGCTGCAGGGCTCCAGGCCGGGTAGCCGGGCACAGCCCTGGGCCCTCACCTTCAGCCATGTCACCCGCCCACCTGCTCAGCTCTGCCTCACCTCGCCTTGCCTTCCACTGGGCCCGGGCAGTGGGGAAGCTACCTGGGAGGGAGCAGCCTTTGGGCAGGAACTGGGAGGTGGGGTTTTGTTGGTTTCTTATTTTGCTTTTTTTGGTAAAACAAACATTCAGCCCAAAGAATGCCATACCAAGTAGACACACAGACATCTGGACACGGTCCTAGGAGACACTGTACAAACATGGAAGCTCTGGAACCCAGGTCCACTCCCGCCTCCCAAGCGCTCATCAGGAAGCCACTGCAGCCTGTCCTCACTGGAGGCCTCGGGCAGAGGTGAGGGCTGAGCTCAGCCCTGCCTGCCCCCCGCTGGGCCACCCCTGGGTGCCTCGTGGGAGGCTGCTTCTGGCTTGGGGCCCACCCCTCTGTACCACCAGGCGGCACATGACCCTGCACAGGTTTCTCACCTCCCCTGTGCCAGGCAGTCAAATGGGAACAGCCCAGCGTGGTGGGGGGTCGTGTGACAGTCTGGACAGCAGGCGAAGAGCGCCCGGCCCAGAACTGGCGCTGGAGTGAGCCTCTCAGCGCACCTTGGCTGCTCCCTGGAGACCCTGAGGGGGACTCGCTGACGGTGCTGGGGTTTGGCGGAGCTGGTTTCCTATTAGGAGGCCTGTGGGCCCTGCTGGCCTGGTCTTGGCAGCTCTCATGGGGCACCCCTGGAGGGCCCCCGGATTGGCTCTGGCCACACCTTCTTACTGAGGCAGGAACACCTCATTCCTCTGGCTTCGTTCATGTTCTTGCCTTGGTTTCACTTTAGAGCACCTGCTCTTTATAGGCGGAAACCAGGCAGACCTGGGTAAATGTTCCCCAGCGTTTATCGAGCTGGGGAGATGAGCTCAGGACGCACTCTAATGCTATGGCTTCTCCAGGATCCGCCAGCCTCAGCTTCAGCCTCGGCCTGGAGGAGGTGCGTGGACTTCAGTCTGAGAGTGCAGGTCCCAGGGTGCCCTCCCTGAGACAGGTCCAGGCTGCGGGGGCTATGCCCACGGCCTGAGCGGACCCTTCGTGGACAGGTCCCTACACCAAGGTGTAGTGAGGAACGGCCCCGGACGCTGGGCAGAGAAGTCTCCGCAAGTCCGGCCTGGGAAGGGCGGCCTGATCCCCGTCAGCTCAACCTCAGGGAGAGGAGGGGTGCTGGACTAGGTGGCTGGTGACAGAAGGTGAGCAGACAAGCTTGGCCTCTGCCTGGCTTGGTCCCCAGCTCCTGAGGACAAGAAAGAGACCCCAACATGGCTAGGGAACCCAGAAAGCTCCTGCTGCACTGGGGAAGGCACCGAGGGAGCGGCCATGCAGGGCCCAGCTACATGCAGTGCGGAGCGGAGGGCTGGGGCCGCTTACCCTGAACTCCCCTCACATGTATCCAACACTGCGGCACCCATGTCACACGGCTGCAAGGACAATGACAGGATCGGAGAGAGGCATAAACAGGACGGAACAAGAACACAACACAACACGGTGCCCAGTATCGGCCAGGTGGCCACACCCCATCAGTCCAGCTCCTCCCTCGGCCCGTACAGGCGGAACAGGACAATGCAGCCGGAGAACACTGAACAGAAAGGCACGGGGTGGGCATCGTTCCGTCTAGAGGCAGCAGCCCTGCAGCTGGTGCAGTGGGAGGGGTCCTTACGCTTCCCGTGTGGCTGCGGGCACCGCCTGTCCTGTCCCTCAGTGCCTCCTGTGGCCCACTTTCCCCCAAATCTCTCATTCTGTCATCTCAGGAGGTGAGCAGACCACCCTGGGTCCTTCCTTGGGCGGCCCCAGAAGTTGGCAGGCTGATGTGTTGCGAGGAGCGGCCCCTCTGGACAACTCAGGGTGACCAGGAGCTCCAGGGGTGTGGGCCTGAACCCCCAAAGCAGTGGCCTGTGCTCCCCCCATCAGGGCTCACTCAGAACACATCTCGCACCAGGAACCCCCGGTGGGGAGTGGTGCTCACTCATCTTTCGAGGAAGAATTCCCTTTGTTTTTTACAAGCCTCGGGTAGAGGACAGCAGCTGTACCTTCAACATGATTCATAGCCCAAACCAAGCCAAACCGCCAGACGGCTGCTCCCACAACATTTAAATCTCCAGACCCAGCACAAATACCACACTGGACTAGACTTCCACCGGCAGCACGGAGCGGAGGCGGAGGCCAACCCGCCATCTAGCCAAGGGAAGGCCCGTCTCCGCGGGAAGCCAGGCCCAGGATGAGCTGTTCTGAGTGTGCGTGGTGTGTGTGTGCATGCAGTGTGTGCATCGGTGTGTGCTGTGAGGGCACAATGTGCACTTGTGTAGTGTGCTGAACTCCCTGTGTGGGGTGGGTGTTCCGGCCCCAGTGGCCCCGCCTGCTGCTACCTGGGACGATACAGGCCGACGAACCCGGGCTCTCGGCCTGGTGAGGTGGGGGCTGGCTCTAGTCAGCGGCCACACAAATGTGCCCAGTTCTGACCTGGTGTGCTCGATCCTGGGAGATGTTTCAACGTGTCCTTCTTCCAGACAAGTGGTGTGTGCTACACGTGTGTGCTTATGATTTCATGCCACACGTTTTTCTGGGGGGAAATAGATCCATCTTTGATTTTAAATTCAAAGCAAAACTAAATTTAGCCATTGTGGGCTTGTCCAATTAGCTCCTCTGAGAACCAGGGGGACACGTGTCTTGTCTGAACCCGACCTCTTTATAATACATGGTGCTAGAAATACGTTTCTAATTAGGCTTATTCAATTAATAAAAAGGAAATGTCTTTGGTCCGTAGGGTTTCTGAAGACACGGGGAACGCCTCCCGCACCAAAGTGCTCAGGTGCCAGCGGGTCTGCCATCTCCCCCAGCTTCCAGCTTTCCCAGGAGCTCCGGCGCTCAGCCCCCAAATTAGGGCCGACGCAGAGCCCTGGCTGTGGGCGCTGGACTGGGCAACCCCCGCAGAGGCCCGCTGCAGGACAGCTGGGTCCCTCGCGAGCTGCTCTCACCGGCTACAGGGGAGTCTCAGGGCATCCCCTGGGAAGCTACATTGGCACCAGCACAGCCGGCCCCTGGCAAAAGAGTTGTTGACTGGCAGTGGCACCAGCAGCCCTCCCTCGGCCCACTGTGCTCAAGTTCGTGGAAAATGGAGGAAGCTGGGCGTGGTTACCTGTGGACATGCTTTCCCCGGGGGCCATGCCGTCGAGCACGGGGTGCTCCGTGGACTGCGGGCTGGAGGCGGAGAGGCTCGCCGTGGGCGGCTGTGTTTTGGTTAAAGTGCTGGAGAAGCTGGAAGGAGAGGCCAGAGGGGGCACTGCCGCCGGGGAGAGCTGGCCCGAGGCCAAGGGGTACCCTTGCGGGTAACTGAGTCCGTAGGGTGACGGGGTGCTTGGGGGCGTAGGCGACAGGCTGAGCGGGGACGGCTGGCCGGTGGGCAGCTCTGACATAGCGCCTGGCTGGCCGAAGGGGACCTTGGGTGGAATCGGTGCCAGCTTCTTGGAAACTGGAAGAGAAAACACAACAGCAACACACAAGGTTGTTCCATGATGCCCGGGGTCCATGCGGCCGGGGTCCAGGCGCACCCCTCACCCCCTCCTACCCCTCGCCACCCCAGCCCTTGGAGCCCTGAGAGCAGGCAACACAATTCTTAAAAATTCACCTAGACTTGCAAGTTTTCATGTCCTCCCTAATTTCTGTTCACTAATTTCTCCTCTTCTCTGGATTCCTGCACCCCCCACCCCCTCTCTCTCTCTCTCACGCACGCACACACACACACACACACACACAGCAGGCTGCAGACACATCCCCCCCCGCCCCAACAGGCCATGGCTGGCTTCCCAGCGCCTGTCACCATTGGGGTGACAAAGGGATCGGTGGCCCAAGGAAGAGTGAGCCAGTGCCACGGCCCAGACGACAGAGTTCGACTTGTGATGGTGGGCCCAGGACAGGCGACTATCAGCATCGGAAGCTGACCTTTGGCCTCAGTGACCGATAGCCTGTAGGTGGGCCAAAGAGGCCTGGTGCCTGGTGCTGCCCGTCCGCCCGCCCTGCCTTCCACCCATGCACAGGGCACAGCATGTTCTGACCTCCTCTGCAGGCCTCCATGTCCCTGTATTGACT